AAGTAACAAACACTGGTTCTCCATATGGCACCACAACCGACATACTAGAACGCCAATTAACTATATGATCCAAGAGAACCGATGAATAAAAAGTCTCCACCGATTAAAGGAAACCGCATTGAAGGATAAAACCATAGACTATTAAATGGGAGACTAAGAAGAATCGATCTAACGTATTAAAAGAATCCCTGCACATTCGATAAAAGAATAGAAGTTATTATCATTTCTGTTTGGATAATAGAAAATCGATTGCCACTCGATCTTACATCGAAACGACATTAATACTCAGAACCGCCTCGTTGCGTATCGACCGAGTAGAAACTCGTTTAAAGGTGAATATTCATTGACGAACGATACACGAAAAGCTGAGCGAAGAGGAAAGAATAATAGAATTCTTTTGTTCGCCTGGTATCAGTGGAATTACTTGTATAATGTACGAAGGAAAGAAATGAATTTTACATAAGTCGCGAACGAGTCGTACCTTAACGGCAGCGGTTGTACACAAAATTGACGATAAACCTCGATAAATAGATTGCGCTTTCCGCTATCGGCATGCAACGCAACGCCTGACACGCACTGTGTCAAGGCCCCGCTAGGAGTGCTCGCCCGATGCTAATAGACTCGTAGAGAACGAGCGAGAGCAGTCACGAGGGACAGAGAGAGGGAGAGGAACAGAGGTACCGGGGCTCTTCTAGCCTAGCTGGAGCTGTTCGCTTTCCTACCGTTTCACTCTCGACTTTAACCAGGGCTGTACCGATCCGGTCTGATGACTCATCATTTCTATCCCGTGTCCATCGGCTAATTGGGTGATACACGAGGGATTTAAATTTATTTGACGACGACCTTTTCGTGGACCGGAATTTCGTTTGATGTTCCTTGAATTGGTTCGATTGAACTATTTAAGTTTGATATAAGTTCTCAGAAGTGACGGTGAAATTCAAACAGGTCGAAATAATCTTTATAAGGAAGTGTAGCTTTAATAGATTTCCACGCTTTCTATTCACAATAGCTACATACGATTTTATATACAGAGAGACTTTAGAAATGTTTATTGATTGTTGTCACAAAAGGATCGTTCTTAACAATCTATGAAATATGTACATCCGCCATCGTTGTACGTTTTCGAATTTTACTCAAATTTCTCAAATATGGATATCAGAGACGTGTTTGCATGCGCTCTAGTCGCGACCCTGCAATTGGGTCTAGGCGAGCTCTTATGAACGAATCGAAGATACCGCGAATCGGTTTGCATGCGATGCATCGCATCGAGCAGTGTAGCGGGTAACGGAAACAGGAGAGGAGGAGAGACAGAGAAGAAAGGAACAACCGTGTAGTAATCAGTGACGCGCGTTCTGCGGCGACCCAATTTACAAAGTTCTCTTCCTACACGTCGCGTCGGATCGTATCACTCGACACGACTTTTCCACGAATCTCGATAGAACCGCGAGCAGGAAGCAACCAGCCACGTTCCATCGCGTCGCGATGTTAAGGCGCTGTGTAACAGTTGCAACATTATTGTACGTCCACAGATCTCAGGACACAAATTTTTATCTGCTCCTTCATAATCTCGGATTATCTCATTTGGTTACGTAGTTCTTAGTTACATAAATCAATAAGAATAGGCATATAAAACAATTGATTATTCTTGTGATTCATCAGAAAATGTAGTGTATGAATTTTTTAGTTGACAGTGTTTAATCTATTCTTGAATTTCACTTTTATAAGGATTATTTATAGTGTCATGAAAAACAGTTATTTTTAGCAATAATTCGTATTGTCTCACTTGTTTTACAATAGGTCGTAAGACTCGTGAGTAACAGCGCATACAGCACGCATGCCACGATAACATGACACAAGTGGACACACCCCTTCACATTCAATTTTCCTTTCTTCCGTCCAGTCTCATTGCCCTCCTTTTTTATATACCTCTTCGAAATTTGCTTTTAAGAAGAAATATACGTGAGCTCGTTTTGCCGAACGACGCGCGCAAGACTACACGCTCGGACTATTCCGGTGGAAACTGTTGCACTTTTCATGAGCTCCCTGGGTCTCGCCAAACATGGCGAAACTGCGTGTGGCCGTTTTCGCGATGTCCTCGAAACGGATTCCGTCCCTCCTCCCGACGCGCGTTACGTACCTACGTACCTACATGTACGTCTGATCTAGCTGCTGCAGTGACAACGCAGCCGACAGTTTGCACAGGTCGCGATAAAAAAGTCTCCGATCCAATGTTTTTTAATTCTCGACTTTTCCTCAAACACGAAATGGGGGTTAACAAATATCTATAGTAATTAATAAACCGCGGATTTTACCCATTTATAGAGAAACGTCACGTGTAAAAAATGGAGATTATTTCATTATTATCATAACTGAAGGAAAAAGGAAATGTCAATCTATAATTCCACTTTTTAAATTAACATTCCATAAAAAATCTCAAAACTTGACTCTGAGAAGGACGAAATAGAGTGTGGAAATAGAGGTAGTGACCACTTATTATTTTGAAACGAAATGAACGGATGCGAGTTATGATATTTGGAAATTATTCACTGATATGGATCATCGCGATCAGTTCTTGTCGACGAGGAACTGTCCGACTAATGGAGACTGAAAAATTATCGATGATCCTGAAATAAAACGTAACTGTGGCGAGCGGCCGCGGTTTCTCAGCGCTTCGAGCAATTAAATTGGAAAGACGTCTGATGACCCAATTTACATAGATAGACGGCCGGCGCAGCAGCGGTGCGACGACCACGTGGCCGTCGGAAATAATCCCTACGTTGTACTACTACGTCTCGAAGACGGATCGATCACGGAACAGGACGATCTCTCCAATTTCTCGCGCTTTATATAAGTCCAGACCAACCGAAATACCCACGGATTCGAATTAGTCAAGCATCCAATAACCGCGTCATTTAATATAAATATGTTTAGCAAGAATAATCTTCGTACACTTTACAATTACACTAACGCCGATAAATCTCGTTTGGCGAACACAGCGGCATGTTCGATCGCTTTAAATTACCACCTTGTCTTAACGCGACTGATTTTCGACCAGACGAACTTCATATTCTTGTTACTTTTCAATAAGACACTAAGAAATGAAACAATAACAAAATAAATGGTTTAAATATTGCCAAGTTTTCCGTCCAAAATTAAGAAATCGATTCCTGGTCACGGCTGTGTAAAATTGTCCATGGAAAGTTCAAATAAAGGACATCACTAAGGTCATCTTATATGTATACCAAAAATTGGTAGTATTTCTCAGAGAAAAGACACTTGAACGTAAACTACGTCGATTAGTTATTCCCGGGGAGCAACGCGATCGTGCTCTTCCGTCTGGCGATCTTCTCGATAAGTTTTTTCGGGTGGTAGCCGAAATACACAGATGGCTGCTCAGAGGGATGGTGAACGACGCGACGAGTAGACTGGATCGCGAGAGTAACGGGCGATTTCCGGCTTGGCAGAGACCTTAGATCTGTAACGTCATCCCTGAGCCGATAGCGGGCGCGTTGAGAAAACAAATGTGGGTCGATTCCATGGGAATAAATTATCATCTGGGATCAGTGCCGGGGCGTCGACCGACGAGAGCCTTCTTTTTTATTCAAAAACTTTGAGAAAGCTCGTGATCAGCATTTCGTATATACATCGACACGCCGTATGCAATACAGATCTTAAAATAGGTCACGAGGATCGACAAGTGATTTGAACGTGTACTGTTATGAAATCTGCCAGACGACTGTACCGTTAAGTCTAGCCCACTTCGGTGGGAAACATTTCCGACGAAAGAAACGCGCTTCGACGAGGGATCAAAGGAGTTTCGAGATCGAAGAAAAGTATACACTGTTTTATCGCCCCTCGGCGGAATTTTCATGAAGAAACATTTTTTTTTTACGCGGTCGAGCAACCATAAATCTGACCATGATCTCCTATTCGATTTGAGAATTTGCATCATTTCGTAAAGTAACGAGGCTCTATAACCGCAGCCCGTAAATCCTCTCTAAACGGATAACTCTTTGCCTGTCCACGTTTCGCGCTGCTTAAAAACCCGTCCGCCAATGGATTCCGACAGCCTGTTGAATATTCATCGCGGTAATTCCTATCCGCCGGAAAAGCCGGCCAAACGACCGACCGAAAAAAACAGAACCGCGACCCAGAAAAAAGGATCGCCAGCAGAGAGATAAAAACGGAGGAAATGAGGAATGGAGAGATGCGTTGACGGAAGAGCGTAATTATCGTTATTGGCTCGTGCGTCTGGAATTCCGACGAAGCTGAAATCTTCGTAGATCTAGATGCGAGATCTCGCGCGCGGATCCCTCGTTAGAAACCTGAAGGGCGTTACCGAATCCCACGACTCAGGCTAGGGGTGGCTACGCGAGTAGACGCGTTAACGCGCGATTGTGACACGAACCAGACTTCCGTTCCGTTCCGTTCCTTTCTATTTTATTTAGCCGTTCGCCTTCCTCAACATTTTCTCGTTCTCATATGCCAGCGAGTTTTCCTTTTCCTGGAGATACACATCGAAACAAGGCTGCGCACTTTAATTAAAGACCGTCCTGACGCGAGTCTAATATACACCGGCGAGACGCTACAAAAGGTTGATGCCGGTACAACGAGATTATACATTCATGTATTAACTCTATTGAAACAATATGAAAGATAGAAAAAAAAATATAGAAAGCTTAAATTAGAGTATGTTTTGATACTGTACGGACTGGTTCATAAAAAGACGTGAAAATTGACATCGTGACTTATTTATGAAAATCAGTCGCCGGCTGCTCAATAACGGCGGGTATTCGCAGAACGCGTTCAATAATTCCGTAGTCGAACATCGGTAGCTTATCAGAACGAAAATATCCAGACTCGAGTGTTGCAAGTCAATTATTCATTAAGTAAAATCGTTTCGGGCAGACATCGGTTCACAAATATTTCAATGATAAATGCAACATTGTTAAACCCATCTCCTCGATCTCATATCGAATTTTGATCGAGATTTCTTTTAGGGATCATCGGACGTCGCCTCGAGGTTTCGACTGTCGAATTCGTTGACGAGGAATTCTCGGTGACACTTTTATTGTAACTCTAATGCCCACGTTCGGTCCAACAACGTGGATCGACGAAGAGTCGCCAAATCGACAGACGTTGATTTATAAATCGGACATTTCGCAAATTCAACGTTAACACCCAGAGGGGAGAGCAAGGAGAGGGAGAAAATAGCGGTAACCTTTTTCTCCATCTTTTTTTCTCGGAAAAATTGAAAATTTTTTTTGTTGTTTATTATTAGCAATGTTCTTCCGACGTCCGATTTCTTTTTAAAAAAATGCGTTTCTAAAGTGCATAAACTTTTGAGATTGACTGTATAGCCAATACATTCTTAAGGTACGATTGACGGTATGACCCACGATGAGCATGCATTACGAGGACCCAAATTCGAGACAGGAAGACCTGCCTTCCGGAATTCCTGGACCGGAGAACGCAAACACGAAGGCGGCACCTAAAGTTTCGGAGCACGGGAAGCGCTAAACAAGGTGAGGCAAGGACGTCGAAACGTTCATTCGAAAGTTGCTGAATCGATTTCAGTCATACTTGAACAATTAAATATAGCACTAGCCTCGCCACTGATTTCCAATCATTATTCTATTCTTGTAACAAGCTAGACATTCCACGCTTGTGAAAGCCCTTCGTACGTATAATTATGGATTACACCTTATAACACGATAATATAGATATAATAATATAGAATAATAAGAATCAGAAAGAGGATTTGGACAAATTACGATGATAAAACGTATGAACAAATAAACGTACTTTTAGAATGTAAAACGAAGAACATGCAGTCGCTTCTGCGTCATCTTCTACGGAGAATCTAACGAGCGTTGCGACGAGATAACCCAAAAATCGAACAGGATAGAGAATGATTGTACAGCCGAAGGCGATGCATCGGTTACAATCGTCCGTGAACTGTGCTCGATTACGAGCGGCAATCCTCGCACGTCCCACGTATATACATGGAGAAACCGATTACGCGTATCGTATCCTTAACGGCGCATTCTTCAACGGAGATGTCATCCGTCTAACAATACCACGTTTCGATCGTTCGCCTGTCCCAATCTCCGATACGCGAACAGATCCGAGACATATTCTCCGCGACATTGCATCGACTTCCTCCTACTTGTCACAACTCTGCCACGCTTATTACATTTATTTTACCTCGTTTGCATTACGATTTCTAATCTTTTCCAATTAAACTCGCAGCCACGTGATCAATACAGCTTGTCCTAAAATATGTTTCTCGGCAACTTTAAAGTTTAAAGGGCACGTCTATCTAAATAAATCTAAGTAGCTACGTTGCTTTGATCATTAAAATTGAAAACGAAAGATAAATTATGCCTATGGGTGGCACACTTCGAGAAAGGAACGAGGAGATCGAGGGAGGCATGTATGTATATTACATTAAGTAATACGGAATTTGGTCGGCTGGCAGCTTATACAACGATGGAAACAGTGTGTCCGTCATCTCTTGCGCTTCTCTCCGTGCAAGTACACGCCGGCGTACACGTGTGCGCGTATTTACACGCGGAGACAGGGCTTACAGGTTAGCCTCGGCCCACATTGGCATAACACTTTCACTGACGTAACACTGTTGCGTTGCCATACACGTATTGCTACCCTTCCACGCATCCAATCTATTCGCCCCGCCGCGCCACGTCGTGATACCCGTCGATGGGAATCATGCCCTCGCGATTCATCGATGTCTTCGATAAAATTTTTTTAGTTTTATTATTTAGAGTCGCATTGATCTGAAGAGATTATTAGCGACCACCATAAACGTATTATTACTGAATTGACCATTCCGAATTGATCACAATTGCTCAGTGACACGATTCGATTATTTCTTCATATTAGATGGAATAAGTCGAACTCTTTGAGGAACTTCAGAGATCTCGTACAATCTCTTCAGTAAATTTCGATAAAATTGTTTACAATTAATGCAGCATAAATCTGAATAATTTTACATTTAGTGCGTGCATCGTGATCAATAGAATTGTATTTGTCTTTGGGCTCTCCATTAACACGCTTGATAGATACATTACTTGGAACCGAATCTTGGAATCAAATCTTGGAACCTACGTTCCTTGAAACTGATAGTGTTACAGCAACGTTTAATACACTTATCTTATTTAAAGTATAAACATACTTTCCTCATATACTCTTTGAAATAAAGCCATAAAACGGAACATCTAGATATTAACTGCAAATTCTCTATGATTCTACGAAAGATTTCCTTTCGAGGCATCGTTGGATGTTGACGCGATTTCCATTGAAAACCAGCCGGTTTTCCTTTAATTTTTACCTAGGCGATGCAATCCTCAGAGGGGCCGTAAATCAGTAAACGCAACAAAACTTTAAACAGTATAATGGGAATCGGATCTATTCAATGTTCACAACGAACACGGTTCATATAAACTGCGTATCGAATCTTCCGTTTAAATGCGCGATCGGAACTTTGTACTCAGTTAATTGTTATTAGTGACGACACGATTTCATATATTCCGGAAAAATCGTCAGGAAATCCACGGAAAATCGCCTGCGCGCATCGCCCAAACCTCAAACCAGAATTCTTCTGATGTCAATCTTCCATTGAAATCGAAGCGCAACCTCGCATCGAATGTATGCCGAAATCGAATTTAAATCGTATTTTCCTCGATCCCTCCACTCCACGATCATTCCTCGGATCGAACACGTTCGTAAACAGAAAGAAACGTCGAAAACGTGGAAAAAATTTCCATTGCGATTGCCCAACGCGGTTACGCGACCAAATCGCTTCCGTTCTCGGACCTATTTCGGAGTTTCAATTTCGCCTGTCGGCGATTTTAAATAAAACGACTACGGACATAATTTCAGATTTCAAGAAATGTGAACGTACTTTGAATATCTTCTGGAAAAGATCTGTCCGATAATCGGGAATCTGCTCGTTTTAGTTTTAACGGTAACGTTTGACGTAACAATCAAGGCGAAAACGGTGGAACAATTACAAGGAAGTGTAAGACATTCGCGAAGGCACCTAAGGGCGATGAACAAAACTGGTCGAGTCAGGAGACACGACCGATCGATCGATCGATCGTTTTTCTGACTAACTGTAACCCAATTTCGCGCGTCGACAGAGAATGCGTGGTTGCGTATTACAAGCTTTTAAATACAGAATTACACAGAGGTACCCGTGACTCGCGTAGTATAAGGAAATTCCCGATCTCGATTCGCCATGATTCTCTTGTGAAACTGTTTACCTGGTATATGGGATAGGTCCAAGGATAAAAGATTACACGAGCCTCTCCGCGGCGTTAGCCTCTTTCAAACGACGACGTGCCGGCCTACCTCCCTCCTTTTTTGTTTATATTTTTCCGCCGCTATTGAATTCGATCGGCCTACTTTCGCGACAATTCTGCTCGCGCGAGAATCGCCTCGGTGAACGCCGCGGTGTTCGCCGCCAGCCGACCGGAATTTTGAATGCCGGAATCAGCATTCCGCGGAAAACCGATATTACGAACTTGCTAATAAAGTGTTACGGCGAACAGCATTTATTCCTAACTTCCATGCGCGAAGTAAGAAACTGAGTGCGTCGTTACTCGTTGACGTAGAGATGCACACGTTGTACACGTGATAAGTACACGAAACGTGTTTGAAAGTAAGGCATCTAGCACGAATAATCGAGAGACATCCTTAATTACGCTCGACCGTTCGAGGAACCGGGCATTGTGTTCCTCCTCGGCCACTTCCGCTTTCCGTGCGAAGCTAATTTCCATTGCGAAAGACGGAGATGGACTGTCAGGAAAATTGCATGGAAACACGTCGGCGAGGAAACGCGAAGCAGAAGTCACGGAGCCGCGTGTACACGTACACGCACGCAGCAGCGCCGATCGACTCGGCTCGGCACGGCTCGTGGGAATTGAGTTACCGACCCGCGTGTCCTTCGCGCTTAATTATACCGAGCGCACCGCCGCGACCCATACCCGGCTACGAGCGCATTTTGTTGTTGTTAAATAAAAAAAAAGGAAGGAAGCGTCGTATCGACACAATGAACGAACCTTGGAGGTTTCCGCCCCGGCGACGCTGCTTCCAAGAGTCTTTCCGGAGTTCGATGAAAATAACGCGTCAGTCGTTCGCTTTTGCATTAAACTCGGCGACTTCGAACGATTATATAATAACCACTTCCTATTATTTCTTGATATCAACGTTCCGCGATGTATTTAGGTTAGTCATCTCATGCTACAGTGAGTCAATGAGAATTATCATCTAAAATAGCAATGCTTACTGACCCTCTTGAAAGGTCTTGAGAGAATGAATAAAATTTTGTTAAAACGGAATACAATGAACGGAAAATCATTTTGAAACATCTTTCAATAAAATTAAAAATGTATCGGTTATTTCATGGTTACTCGTGATAATTCATGTATTTTTATATGGGAGCTTGAAAATTGAGAAAACAAGTTAAGGAGCCTTACCAGTGTGAAGCGCATAACTTGGTCACCTTTAGTTATTTTTATACGAAAAAATTATTTTACACAGTTCATTTATAGGCAAATTCGTCCAAACAAATGTTTGTAATTAAGAGTATGAATCGCCATAAATTCCCTTAGAAAAACAAAACGCTGATGTACGAAGCGACGCGACGTGAGGATGAGTTCCAGTTACGTCGATTTCGAGAATTTGGAAAAAGTCGCGGGAGATCTTTCGCCGGAAAAAGGGCCTCCCTCAAAGGCACTGTCGAGGAAGTCTGTATTGTAAACAGAGCGGCCGCGTCGGTTCCGAAAAAGCTCCGGGTTCGTTGCACGGGGCCAACGCTTGCACGTGTTCCTCCTTAATACGTATGTATCTACGCCTCGCGGGTCCGCGTCGTCGTCGTCGTTGTACCGTTTCCGTGTGTTATGGTTTCGAATTTTTTGTCAACCCCTTCCGAGACGAACCTCGAGACCGCACACCTGTCACACGAGCCCTCCTTCGCCCGTTAACGACCCCGAAGATTTTAACGCCGAGCGTAAGAGAGAAGACGACCGTCTGTTCACGAGAAACCTCCGTTTCGGTTTCGAGAACCCTCCACATGTCTCCTACGACTTTACGACTTTTGACGAATATATTAAACCGTGCACATGACAATAATCACTGCGGTATTAGCTCAAAGAGAACAGCCAACCGTTTTGTCGACTCCAGCGGCTTGACACGCTCGCCTGAACAAGATTTACTTCGCGAATGCAGCCAGAAAAATTTGTAGCTAAAGGATAAAATAAATTGCATAAACAAAACTGCGTTCGGATACTTTAAGACGGATACGTGGAACAGGACGGTCGGAGAATGGGAGTTGAAAATTTCGTTCAGAAGTCGATGTGCTCCGCGGCAAGGAAAACATGTTTACTCAGCCAGAGGTAGATTTCCAACAGGTGGTTCTCGGAATTCGTTTCGTCGAACCAACACGACGCGCCGGCCAGAGATGCGGGCTTCTTCGAGCATGAATTTTCAGACGCTGCGGTGCGACGCGCTGAGTGAATCGAAGGAATTAGCAAAAGGACGAGCAGCCTCTCTGTTTCGGAGGCCGACGCCTCGGAGAAACAACGAGGCCTCGGGTAAATATTATCGCAAGCTTTTACAGTGGAGAAATCGGAAGGGAATCGGTCGTTAGTTTCTCCTTCCGCGTGTACTTACAAAAACAATTTTTCTCCTCTCGGTGCATCGCGTCGTCGACGACGCAGACGCCCAATGTTTACTGTCTACAATACCGAAACGCGAGGGTCAATATGAGCGGAACGTTTTCGACGAAGAAAGGCGACGAGCTCGTGAAAGTAGAACAAAAAAAAAAGTGGTCCCCGAAGGGGAGGAGGACTTTTTGTTCATCTCGTCTCGCCGCGTTTCTGTCACGTTACGTATTTACGCGTCAATTTAGCATAGTCCTTTCCCGAGGAAAAGCGGCTACGATGATTCATCGCGTAGACACGTTCGCTCTGTACCGAGTCACTCCGCTGATTGGATCGGTGCCCTAAAATCGGGTCGCGATTGCTCAAGGAGTTCGTTCTTCAAAAGGAAATAAAATACGTTTTCACGTCGCGATCTCAAAATGACGCGTTCAATATTTTACTTCGACTGGCCAGTTCAATCAATTGCTCGCAGAAACGAGCAGGAGGAAGATTTAAAAGACGGGTTTCCACGGCGTAGGCCATTCGAAGAGGTCTGCTTAATTCCCGGGAGAGTTTTGTCCGCGTCGCGATCGAACGTTAAATAGTCAGCGCACACGAATATTGCCTCGGAAGGGGTTATAGGTAATGCCGGAGCGCTCGACGGGGGCCCTGACCCGATTGCAGAAAATGTCAACACTCTCATTACGTGGCTGCACTATCGCCGGTCGGTCGCGAGGTAAGCGCGCGCGCGCGCCTCGAAAATGTTCGCACATGCTCGACGAGGAACGCCAAGTGGGAGGTGCGTGTAAGCACATTCTACGGTTCGATGTCTTTTCAAGTGGCCATCTTGACTTCACTTTCAAACGCGAGTACTCGCTTGCTATCCGGCTGGAAAGAACGACTGCGCGAGTAAATGAAGTAGACGGACGTCGACGAGGAGCGTGGAACGGAGACGGAACACGACGTACGTCTGTATGTATGCGCGTACGCGGGGTACGCAGTGTGTGGCAATACGAGGAAGCCGATTACCCAACCGATCCGAGATCCGAACACCGGTTACGCGCGATTCCATTTAACTTAATCCAACTTGCGTACCGTTAACATATTACTTTTTGCATCGTTCGTCTCTTTTATTTTTAATAAAACACACCGCACATTTTTATGTTAAACAAGATTTTTATGACGCCATTTAAAAAAATTAAATTGTTTTTGCACTAAGCAAATAATAATAATTTTTATCTGTTGCGTGCTTAGATATTATGTCCACTTTTTGTATTCTCTTCGTTACCAAAATACTATTTACTGAATATAACTGCGATGAACCGTACGATCTCTGAAAGTCTTGGCAGGCGTCGTTTTCCTATACAGTTAGGAATAGAAACGTGGAAAGGCGTTGAAGAAAGACAGGAAAATAAATTTTAGCTGTGTGACCAGTGGCTGTGTGCGAGAGTCAGGGAGGAAGATGCATCGATGGCAATACGGCCGGGGTGTATCGATTCGCTGCACCTGTTTTTCTTCGACGAACAGTCAGAAAGACCAAGGGTAGAGAAAGGGGAAAGGAGAAAAGGGAAGAAATGAACGCCGACTCTCGAATCTATTTCCGTGGGGCCCTAACCCGAGCCGAGCCGAGGGACGGAAACAGACGGACAGGGTAAAAAGAGACGACGCGAGAAGGGAAGGGAGAGAATTTATGTGTTTGAAGAGGGTCAAGGGAACGAGGGTAGCGACAAGTGCAGCGGAGTCGCGCAGCTGGATGCAACAGGGGGTAAAGAAACGTGTTCGCTTGCAAATGCGTGCGTTACCCAAACTAATTTTTTTCGCGATCATTAAAAATCATCTTTTTCCTGATATCAGAATTGAAGTCTAATGTGCCCACTTCTATAAATGTGAGGATACTGGAAATATTACACAGTATATTTCGTATCATCAATCTTAAAACTCTCAATTAATTTAGATTACTTGGAACGAAAACTGACAGCAAACGGTAGACAGATTTGTTTTAATTAGAAAGCAACAATTTTGCTTAAGAGATAGAATGTGGGAACTCATCGATGTTCCTGTTTTTCGCGAGTGTAACGACGCTGATGATTCCACGTGAAAATCCAGTTTTTGTCGGTTACGCAGGATGCACATGGCGAAAGTGATGCGTGTCCGAGAGAGACGAGACAGTGAGTCGAGAGCGAGCAAAAGTGCACGCGAGAGTATTCATGAGAAGTTGTTTCTTTTCTCCTCCGCAACGACTTAAGGAGTTCACTGGGTGGATTGGTTCACGGACGCGACTCGGAATTCGTTTCCAGTCAACCCGTCGGTTTACATACCGATCGGCTGTGTTACGCGAGGGAGGAGACTAATGATAACGAGCAAGTATTTTTGGTACAAAGATCGATGGGCGACCGACGTTGTCCTTTCGCGTCCCACCGGGAGAAGCGGAAATGGACTACCGGTCGCTAAATTGCTATAGACTACAATTGGGTCGTGAATACGCGAAGGTCATGCTTTTGGTTAATATATTTCGTAGGGAGAGCACTCTAATCTGTATTTATAATAGTTTTGCTAGAAAGTACACCGTTTCTCACTTTCCAACCGCTTTCTAAAAATGTGAAAAGAACAACGGCAAGCACCCATTCCTCAATTCGTGTTCTAACAGCACGTAATTGTCCGTTACGGGCTGCGGTTTCAAACGGAATCGTCGGATTCACCGCGGACCGTTAAAAACGCTAACAAACGTCACGTAGCAAGAATCTGCGTATCCCTGTAGTTCGCAAGGAACGAGAAGAAGCGAGCCGCGAGGGGAAACTTCTGAACTCCCCTTCGATGATTCCAAACACCGAAAATCGAAAGCGTGCTTCATCGACGAAACTTTTAAAAAACATTGTTCGCGTTTTTTACTTGGAACCAAAGCAATGCTTCAACAAGCGGTCGCTCTTACGCGAAGCATAAAATTTTTCTTTGTTATCGTTCAAAGTCTCTGACGAACTGCAGACAGAAAAACTCGTCCGCCCCTTTGATCGTTTTAAATGCTCGGGTTAAAGGCTAAGCGTCTCACGCGGCCTACAAAAGGTCGTTACCACTTTGCCAGTGTCGTACATGAGATACGCATGCAAAGACGATACATACACGTGCGTGCAACGCGTTTATACGTACGTATCGGAGTGGACGCGTGAACGCCCGTCCCGTTGTCGTTTCAGCAAGTACCTATGTTTCGACTTATAGAACGCGACACCTGACGCGTGAAGTGGCATAATATTTGCGCCGCATAAGCTTTAAGGTCGTGTAAATACGTTCTTCCTCGATGGTCGTTGCACGTTTCTATGTCTCGAGGCTGGCTCGAAGTAATCGTGAAATCGCGTACGCACGTAGTGCGCTGTTACGACATGGTTGTAAATTGTAAGAATTGGGCCATTACGGACACGAGCGCGCGGGCTCGTGCACGTACAAGGCACACGCGAACAGCGGCTGCCTTTTTTTCGCATCGGCACAAGAACGCAGGCGCAATTATCACTAACACGGATGTCTGGTTGCGATTCGCGGGGCCTTGGCCGGTTTCCCTTTCGGAGCAGCGAATCGACATTGCTCAAATACCGAGCGCGGATCGGATTCGAACGGGCCTCGCGATACGAGTCGAGTGGAGCCCTCCACTCGTGCGGACACGGTACACGCGCCCTGGTACGACACGGTAATACAACAGACCTACTGTACCGACGATGTCCGCGCTCGGTATATAAACTCAGTCTGATAACTCAGGGAACTGCGAATTGCAATGCGGTCGATAACGCAGGTTGTTTCAACGACCGTTCCACGATTTGACGACCAAATATACGAATAACTGGAGTGTGAACAGCTGACAAAAGTAAGGAATAATGCGCCAAGAAACGAGTGGTATAAAATTGTTATGATGTTTAAAGGTCGAAGAGAAATAGAAAGCATTTCCCATAAGATTCCCGCTTTATCGTCGCGTTCCACTGTTCAAACTCCAGTCGTTTATATAGCTCATTCCGGAAATATTAAAATGATGAATCCTACCTTTACTCGTCTCCGGTTGAATGTTCTCCGTCTTGATCTCCGCTCTCGCTGCATACGGTATAGGAGCTGGAGACGCTTGCGATGAAGGGGCTGCCAATTTTTCTGCGACAAGAGAGAAACCAACTAAAGAACACTTAATATGCTTACCAGCGAGATCAATTCAAACGAAGGAACTTACCCGCTAGCAAAGGGTTCGCAGCTGCAATGTTGTACCTCTGCCTTCTGCAGGAAGGAGTAATGGAAGTCGTCGTAGACGTCGGCTGACTGGCTTCAGCCAAATCGGCTTGTAATTCTCGGAGGAATGTGTCTAACGTGTCGAACGGTTCTTCGTTAGCGACGCTAGCCATTCCTTCGCCCTCTTCCGCCGGCATATTCGGGGCAGCCGGCGTCCCCACGAGGGCACTCAATTCCATCGTCGAGAATTCAACTGATTGGCCTGTACTACTCTCCTGATGAAAGAACAAGATTCGTGTCAGTTCGTAAAAATATAATTAGGCATTATCGCTGGAACGTGAAATTGTGTACCATTATGGTGGACCAACCTGGAGGCACTGAGTCAAATCGACCATTTTGCCGTCATTGTCAGGGCACCAAAGTAGCTCGTCGTCTATGAAGGGCATGTTTGACTCCTCCTTGGGTACGAGGGTGGAGGTTAGCGTAAGGGTTTGTGATACGGGGACCGGCATCGGGACCCGTACACTGCGGCGGGGCCTGTTTAGCCACCCCCGCGCTTTCTAACATCCAAAACCACCCCCGGAACGTCCCCACTTTTCGCCTCCTTTTTCTGCTCCGCAGATTTCTCTCTTTCGAACTACGCGCTGTTTCGATTCCCCTGAAACAGAACAATTACGTTTGCCTATAGGATTTATCCGAACGAACGGTGAATGTGTAATATTAAAAAATTACTTTCTCCCGTTACGCGGAACGGACATGATTTCGCGTTCGATTATCGCACTACGACCGCCTCACCGGTAAAATGTCGGAGCCATAGATATCGATGATCGATGATTGGACGTGAGGTGAATCGATCGATTTAATTTTGGCGCGAATCGAATTTAAGCGATTATTCGGTTCGCCGGTGCAAGGCGAACGATTCCAGTAATTAGAAGTTGATTCATGTAGTAACGTGTAACGGAGCAGGTAACGCTGGCATTTCCATGAAAGTGAAAACACCGAGTGAAAACTTTCTTTCTGGCTCGTAGGTTGTTTCACTTCCTGTGCGCGTAACCTCGCTCTCCTGCCGCCGCTGCATTTCTATGCAGCTTCTACGCGCCGCCTCTCTTTTACGTAATCCTCAGCCACGAAAGAAAGTTTCTATCGTTGCGAGGAGGTTAACATCCTCTAACGTCTAGCTATTCAAATATCGCTCGCTGCCCGATGTAATCGGGAGCAACGCACCGCCTCGAAAACGAGCCGATCGAGTATCTCTATACTCGCTTGGCACGAGAACTCTCTCTTTCTCTAATGAACCTTTATTATTTCCTTTCTTTATATAATCAGTGTACATTAAATGAGACAAGAATATCTCCTCTTTTGGAGACTATCTCTCTCTGTAGACATAGATGATATTGTTTCCGAGCGAAAGTAGAGAGAATTGTTCGGGTCGCTCGATAAGAATTTTAAACCAAGCGCTGACTGTACGACAGAGCCAGTTTTGCCATGGCAGACGAGGACGAGAGTAGTAGCTCCACGTCTGAGGAGAGTTTGGACGTGAACAGTGACAGATTTAATCCGATGAAAGCGCTCTATTCGAAAAAAATGCAGCTTTCGCGCACTAAAGCACCGATTTACGACAACATCGCCAAGTTCGAATCCGTCCTCCACGGGTTGTCTGCAAAAACAAAAGTGCGTATCCCGGGAGATGCGACAGATGCACTTTGATCACACATTCCGTCAACGTGTTTTGCTTCTGATCGTTTTAGGTGAGAAGTCAGACGAGCGATGTTAAGCAACCAGAATGTTCAAGGCGTTTTTTACCGCATCAAGGTAAGACCTCGTCTCGTGTAAAACACGTTGACGCGTCCCGTATCATTCATGTTATTTGGGAGAGCTAGTAAGGTTATATCACTTGGTCAGGCGAGCGTCTGGATGCTTCACGACAGATGGCGACCGTGTGAAACTCTTGCACGGCCGGGAGGTCGTAGTTTCATTCATGATAACTCGCACGTGGTATCAAATTTCAATATGCTTACGGTTAGCTAGCACGAGCACCGCACATAAGCGGAAGTGCAACGGGGTAGTCTACGACGGTTCACGCGCCCCTTTCGCGTTGGACGAAACGCACACACCGACGCGGGTCGAACTTTTACCGAAGTATGACATTAACTGCTCCGTTCTCGGCTCAGGCGTATTTGAATGCAAACTAACGAACCACGCTATTTACTACGTCTTAGCGTTATCGCTACAAAAATCATCTCTCGCATCTGGCCGCATTGACCGCTAGGTTCGCGATACGGTTCGCAGCTTCGCATCGGACGAGCCGAGGTAGACCGTTCTATATTCTCGAGATTTTCTCGAATGAATCATGTCCGTACTTTTTTCCACGCTCCCCCTTCTGCTATCTCCGTCCGCACTAATAGTTCAAACAAACGATGCCGACCGCGGGTTCTAGTATTCCAGATATTGGTACGCTTTATTTACGATCCGACAAATACCACGAAGGTCATCGGTATGCGTTTGCGAGCCGCGTATGCGCGTGGAATTTGACCTCCGGAAAAGTGCGTCAACTCGTGGAAGCCCGCGTCGGTCTCATTGTTTCCTCCTCTGTATTATATCTAATATATCCAAGAATTCGCGGAGACCTTCCCTCGGGTGCACATTGTGCAAACCCGGCACGGAATCCGCGCGACAGAAGGTTTACCGAAGTGTTTCGCAACCGCGGAAGCCTTCGGGCAGCGATCTACGCGATTTTCCATTACAGCGCTACGAAGAAAACTGATTCACGCGCAAATAGCTATCTCCTGAAAAGCGAGAATAAAATTGGAAGACCCCAGAGTTCCGTTCGTCGAATATCTGATTTGCTCGACATTTGGAATTTCTGTTCCTCGAATAATTAAGTAGTGGTATTACGTCAGATAACGCTGATTCACTGTATCAGACATTGTTCTGCGATCGGATCGAAATTTGACCGCAGGCCACCGTTTTTGTTTCTTAACCGTGATTCTGACACGGTGCCAACGGTGGAGATTTTCAGTGAAAGCAGCAGCTCGGTTAGCCGATGAAATTTCGGTACCGTTCACACCGATATCCTCCTAGTCGATTCGACGTTACATAGAAGTAAAAGAGAGTCGGAAGCGAGGCTCCGTCGCAGAAAGTACAGTGAAAGAAGAAGGAGCGAGTAGAAAGGGTTGGTCGGGTCGCACAGGGAGGGAGAGCAAGACGGCGAGGTGCGTTCCCTTGGTGTCCCAGCGGGTAGCCCGGGGGTATGTATCTATTGGTCGGCAGCCAATTACACGAGGCAGCCGATAAATCACGGATCCCTGACCCAGTGCAGTTTTATATTTACAGGCAACGCGCTGCTGCGCTCGCGCGAGAGACGAGGCTCGGGCGCGCGCCTCCTCTGCCACTCGCGGCGCGGCTCGACCAGCGTTTCACCGTCTTTCTCTCTTTCGTTCTTTCTCCGCTTCTCGTCCGTATCTCTCCGCGAGTGAGCACTCCGGTGCGCTCCGCTGCAATGCTGCAGGGTTCTCTCTTCTATTGCGCGGCGCGATGGTCTCTCGCGCGCGCGACACACTGTGTGGAAAGCGCACAGGCGGTAGGACAGAGAGAAAAGAGAAAGAAGGCTTCTTCCACAAGGAAGGGGGTGGAGAGGCTGCTCGCGGGACTGTATGAGTGAGTGGAGTGGGGTGTGTACGTACGTAATGCAGCACTTGTTGCGCCCGGGCGTCGACCTCGGACTCAACCCGAGGCTCCGCGCGTCGGACCGTCGTCTTCTAGACCGAAAATTTTGCACGCCGCATCGCCGCGACGCGGTAACCTTGCGAGGTCATTCGGTTTCCGGTCGCGATCTCGGAGATCGGGAACTGTAAACTTGTGCACTTCCTCGATAGCGAGTCTCGTCCAAGTAGCGTGAATAACGCGCGGAGAACCAGCGACTTGTTGCCTTCTTCGGGGGGCGTTTGGGTTCGGGCGGAGGAGGAAAGGTTCGAGAGTTCGTCAGAGGGTTTTATCGTGAAAAGAGCCCGGCATTGTTGGAAAGTCTCGGCATGATATCGAAGAAGATCGCGGGCGCAGCGAGAGTTGTAGCAGCACTTGTTGCGCCCGGACGTCGACCTCGACTCAACTCGAGGCTCCTTAGCTTCGGCGGTCTCTGAACACGTTCGGCCGGAACTGTGATTTTCATGATTGCGCTTATGTAGAACGTAATCGAACGTTATTATCGTCGCTTAATTCGCTGCAGGGTCTCCCGCGTAACGCGAGTAATCTTCGCGTACACGATCGCCAACGATTCTTCTTCGATTTTCCCTCGTAATAGGCCGACAGATCGGTCCATCGCGTAAGCGTTCCTATATTTTCCTCGTGCGCGAAAACGGGCGAAAGTCTGTACGGAGGGAATCGACCGCGTATCGATTTACACGGAGGATGATGCGAAGCAGACCGCGTGCGATTTTTACCGGACCTAGGTCAACCTGGCAATGAGTCACACGCCGTTCCTCGGCTAACGATGACACTTGTTTTACTCGATAAGTCGTTTAATGAAATGCTACGTACACGCCATACCATTTATGAAACGTTCAAAGGGATTCCATGATAACTGACGGTAGACAGAGAAATAGTTGGCCGCTGCGAACGTTTCGTCTCTACTTATACTGTCACTAAGTAACTATTCGATACCTCGAAACGGTGAAAGATGGGCTCGAAGCCGATCTTTCGAACACGCGTGTCCTGAATTCTGTCCGCGTCATGAATCGTCGTCATGTGCGGACGATTTTCTAAGGTCGAGGAACGAACTGCAGCGAGAGGAGCGCACGAGTTTTGCCGGTTGGTAACGCGATGCAAAGCGAGCCCGGTAGTCATTCGCTCTGAGTAACGGAATACATGTCGTGCTGGCGATGTTTTCCCTTCGATTCTCGCCGCGTGTTGCGCAATATTTATACGCGCGAGAAATATGCATCCACTGCTCGAGATCTCCACCACCGAGAGTCCGAGCGAGCGGAGGGGAGTTTTCTCTCGTTCGACGATGGAACTCCGGCCGCCACCGGCAATTCCATCAAACGCGCGATGCATCGCGGCATTTTTTTGCATCTGGGAACGTTATCGGTCGCGGAAGTACCCCGGCTGTCAGTTTCGAGCAAGAGAGAACAGAGAGACGCAAACGGGTGCGTCGAGCAATTTCGGTTCTGTAGACGCGCGACACCCGGTACACTGGACGATCCAATTCCTCGGCTGTTGGTGTGCACGCCACCACGACCTATTCCAACGTAACAGATGACTATCGAGCACACTGAAACGGTAGCGCTTCTCACCCCCTTCACAATTTCGAGTACCACGGCCGACCCAGCTTTCTTTTCAGACGTACTGTTCGCTCCTTCCATTCATCGAGGAAACTCATTTCGGATTCATTCGAATGGATGAATCGTGTAGTCGAGAGAGGTTTCTAAAGTGTCACGCTCTTCCGCGTGTACGGACGTGTCTATGTACTACATACAAACGTGTGTGGAGTCGCACGGAAATCGAGTCGGCGTTAGGGTTAATTGCGTCGCTGGTTACTCGTTGATTCTCTGTTCGAAGAAACGTGGAACAACGATAATACAGAAAGCAACGAGAGGAATGCGGCGAGCTTCCTAGATGCATATCAACATCGGCGGATCGCTGAGAATGATTCTGAATTCAACGACGTCCCCGTCGCGAGATTTACTTTTTCCTCTGCTCGCGCGCTGCGCCCGTAGCCCGTTCTGCTTCTGGAGTAAAAGTGATTTCTCCTTTCTTCTGGAATCTCACCGAGCCTCTGTCAGGACTTTCCTACCTAGGTCGTTCACGCGATCGCCTACTATTTCTCACGACGAGAGTTCTCGTTCGAAAAGAGACTAAGAGAATCGCGATCCCTTGCGAAATCGGTAAACCACGGGAATACCGAGACAACGTTCTACTAAATTCTTTCTCGACTCTTTCTACCCTCTTCTACGTACACTCGACGTTCCTTCCGACTCGTTACCTGCCCGCTACTTGCAAGAAAACAAAACGAAACAGGAGGAGCAAACGTGAGACAGAGAGAGAGAGAGAGAGACAGAGAAGGGATCGAAAGGGCCTGTTTGCAAAAGTAACAGTACCTACGGATAGTTCGCGTAAAGCAAAACTCTCGCAATGGCGAACGAGCCAGCCAGTGTTTCCTCGTGTGCGTCACTCACGTGCTCGTGTTCGTGGCTCTACACACACGAAAAAACTTGTGCATATGTAGGAGAGAACGCATGCGCGCACGTGCAACTCGGTGAAGCGTAGGTACGTGTCGCGTGCGCGAGTGTTCGCCTGTGTGCATATACACGTGCACGCGTACCGCGAATGTGTACGTGTAGAGAGGTCTGGTGGCCGCTCGGCTGCCTGCCTCGGGTGCGCTGCCCGCCAGGACGTTGAACCCAGCGCGACTCAACCTGGGGATCATCCGCGGGTACAACCGGCACCCTCCTTCACCTCCACCGTCCCCTCCTCCTCCATCCCCTCCACGATCGCGGCCGATACTTCTCTCCAGTCTTCCTTCTCCCACACCTTCGCTACCGTGCCTTTCCTCTTGATCTTCTGCCTTTCTTTCAAAACAGACTAACTTTCTCTCTCTTTTTCCCCCGGCTGTTTCTGTACACCGATCACCTCTCTCTCTCTCTTTCTTCGTTCCTCTTTATCGTACACCTCTGCCTCTCCCACCTCCGTAACTTCGTCCTTCTTCTCGCGATATTTCGATGGGGTACCGAGCGAAACACGCCCTACCTGCTCCGCGTACGAACATTCTCCAACGAACGTCGTACACACCTGCATAGAATCTTTGGGACCGAATATCCTTCTTCGCACGCACGATAAACATTTTCGCAGGTGAACGCGAGATATGCCGTGCAAATCATCCGCATGGTATCCGGTGATCGGGGATACAGTAGTTACCGGTGTGACCATTTTCGATCAATTATCGGGTCGAAATTGAAGCCGCGAATCAAAAGGGATCGGTCCGCACGCGAGGAAGAGTTTGACGACGTACTCGGAAGTAATTACGGTCCCCGCTTAAACGCGAAAAACTTTCGCTAAGTTTTCTCGCTGCGGAAGATAATGCTGGGCGCGTTTCGCGCGGGCATCGTTCTCTCTGCTCGCAGTTGCAAAAGCTAACGGTTCCCTCCGCGGTTCACGCACGTGAACGCTCTCGAGGTTGCCGCGCGCGTTATCTCCTCTGCGCCGGCGGTGTATAACTGAGGATCGCAAAAAAAGCTCTCTCCTCGCCGCTGAAAGGATAGGAAAAGAAAAAATAATGGCACGTTGGAGATGGACGAGCGCTGCACTCCTGTTCTGCGCCTCCGCTGCTCTTTCTCCCTCTTTGTCTCATTTCCTGACCCTCTCGCTCTCTCCTTTTCTTTCCGTGCGCTATCTCCTCTTTCTCCCGCGCCTTTCTCGAGAGCTCGCGAGATCGACCAGGCCGATTACATCCTCACGTGGAAAACGAGGACCGACGGTGGAAAGCGTTTATCGTAAACACGATGGCGACCTTTCTGTACCACGAGTAAATATTTCTGGATGATACTTTCGGGATATATCGTTGATGTTCCCTTTTACGAGCGACACAAAATTCTTTAGACTTCCTTTCGACAGAATTAGCCAATCATGACGACGTAAACGAAGCAATTTCTAATTTCACTGCGACTGAATGATTCAGCTGGTTCGCAGGAAGAAACAGCAATTGATATGATTAAAAGAAAACAGACGATGTTTACCCTATCAAATTTACTCCCCGTTTCGATTACTCGAATAAAATTTGTAGTATCCCTTTAGAAATTCATTGAGAGCACCTTCGCTCGAGGGTATTTTTACCGTTCCTACGTTAATAGTTTTCGCTCGGGGGTTGTTCGCGGCTTCTTATTTTTAGAGATCACCCACGGGACGGGAACGAGAGTCCCGAAAGATGCTTAGAGCGGCGCAGAGTTTTGAGCGGCGGCGGCGGCGTCAGAGGCTAGCCGCCTCGCCGAGTGGAATTGGATCACGACGATAGTGAAAGTGGCGCGTGGTGCACGCGGAAAGAAATAAAGAAAGGTGAAAAAGAAGTGCGCGAGCACGAGGAAAGGGGAGCGTGGCTTTAAGATGGATGAAAGTTATCGGAGAAAGCCAATTGGCAGGGTCGATCTCGCGAGTAAGCGCGAACCGCTCGGAGCCGCTGTTTTCGCGCTCGTTCTCGCTCGCATGCACGCAAGCAAGCAGGCAACAACACCTCTCGGAGGTGTGCGTGTATGCACCTCCTCTCGTCGTACTCGTGTCGGGTACGTGTGAAGCCGCGCGTGTAAGTTGGTCGCTCGTGATCGCGCACACACCGGCGAAATAAGTGCACTCGTATGCGCCGAGCGTATAGAGCAGAGCCAGCCTTTACGTAACTTTGCGGCGTTCCTCTTTCCGCGCCACGCCGGGCAGGGCCGAAGCTACCTTCCCGTGATCCACTACTAAAATCCACTGCTACACTTTTATGTATTTATAAGAAAATTTAATACGTACAAAGAATCTGTGCGAAGACAATGTATGAAATCTCGAAAGTTCGATGTATGTCACGATGCAAGAAATTTTCATTTAAATCACATTTTTCAAATAGTAAATTCTGTATCAAATGTATGCAATGACATTCCATCATAGATAGCCGATAAGAAACCAATGCTATTAGAAGAAACGTTTTTCGTAATTGGGAATTAATAACTCATACAATCGGAAAATGTATTAAAATACCTCATCTATGTGAGATTATGTTCTATATTAGTCGAGCCACTTATTAACAAACAGTATTTACTACATCTCGTTAAAACAAAAAACTGTAATCAATCATAATCTTTTTTCTGGCGTAAGCAAACAAAATTCTGATCACGCAGGGGGTCGACGAATCGGGGGACGCAGAGAAATTACGGGAAGCAGCAACGCGTTCGCGTGCCCTCCGGCCACTGTGTAATTTATCGTAATCAAATATTTATAGCCATAAATAAACTGTCGCTATCCACGGGAACACGAATACCTCTCTTCTCTCTCTCTCTCTCTCTCTCTCTCTCTCTCACTCTCCCTTTCTTATCCTTTCGGCGGCGAGTATTTGTACGACGCGGTGGAAAGAGAACAACGGGGGAACATCGAGAATATTCCGGTCGCGTAATTCGGTTCGCGCACGACGCATACAAATTCGATTTTTCTTAATGAAACTCCTTCGCCGCGTCCAGTTTTTGGCTACAGCCATACGTATTCGCGTAATCGCTTGCCGGCGCGCGCGACAAAAACGAGCAAAACCCGGACGACTAGAGCCACGATGCTATCGGCGAGCATTCTTGTCTGTACGCAGCGGCGGCGTGGCTCGGATACGAGGATGAACGATGATTTGTCGACGAACCAACGAGCCGCGAGAACCGCATAAATTCTTATTAGAACGCCATTACGGCCGCTGGGAAAATCAGCCAGGATAATACCGAACGCGTCCGACTCGTTAGTCTGATAACCATCTTCCGACCAAACTTAACCCGACAGACCTCGCTCTTTATTCTCCTAATCGATTACACAGAAACTTTTCCCTTGTTTCCGTCCCAATTCATTTTAGTAGAATTATCGCGTCTTCGCTGTCGAACGATAGATAGTGCCTTGATATTGCGACCAGTCAACAATATTTTATTTTTTTTATGCTCAGAGCCTGTGGCCGCGAAAAGGACGGTGAGGCGAGAAAACTGGCAGGATGGGAAAAATGTTATTAACAATATGCAGAAAGCCTTTGGTCCGTTAGGAACGTTGTCCAAGTACATGGAGAACCGGACGCGCGTCAAGGTAGGTTGTGATTCGCAATATTTTTCTAAACAAGAATTATGCTTCCTTTCGATGAAAAATGAAACGAGTAGTAGGAGTGGATTTAGATGTCTTCGATAGAAATCGTTTTCAATGTTGACTAACGAATATTAGGAAATGAAAATATAGTAATAAAGAAAAGAGTGAAGAAAGGAACGAGGAAGAATATAACTTTCGAGTCAGGAAGGGGCAATGGCGAGCGATTATCTCGATGCGTCTACTGCGACCATGGAAATTCGAGGGTTGTCCTGAAAGCGGCACTGTATACACCTACGCCTCCCATTTCTGCCTGACCTCTGGCATTGTGCGCGCACGCACACGCGGCTGACACACTTTCGCGGCCAGGAGACACGTGCGCGGGCACTTGGAAGGTAACACGAGGGCTGGATGCCGCTGAAAGATACGGAAAGGGGGAGGAAGGAAGCTATTCGGGTCAACAGTCGTCTCCATGGAGACTACTGGGCCCTTTCTCGTCCTGTTTACGATCCTGATCTTTCCCTTCGACTAGAAAAGATTCGACAAGAAAAGAACGCGAATGAAAACCTGTCCCGCAAAAAGGCACTCGACTTTCGGAAAAAAAGATCTAAAGTACTTCACCAGTCAGTATTTCGTACGGAACGGGTTCAAACGTTTAATGTCAACAATAATGATCGTAACGTAATCATTAGAGATCGATCAGGTTACCTTTAGACATTTGAGGTGAGTTACGTTTTAATGGACCGACAATGTTGCAAGGTCGACGAAGAGCCGATTGCGTAACGAGAAAGCGAGGACGCGAGGCGCGTATCGCAAAGATTTTTAATCCGCCTGATGCCAGCATTCTTCTCCGACGCGTAAACTAAACACCGCGTGTGAGTCAGCCGATCGAGTCGCGAGATGTTCCTGGATGGTATCAGTCCCTGATAACGATCGCGAGGCGAGCCATTTTTTTCTCGCGACCGGAAAATAAATGAACGTGCAAGGTCTTTGTGTTCGACTGACTTTTTCTCGTCGCGCGTAACCAAGTGAAATCGCGAGCAACATAACTCGCCTGGGTCGAATCAAACGTCGAAAGGAGGAAAAATCCGACTTCCTGTCACATCGAGTCTCGCCGCTTCCTACTTCCATAATTAGCGGCGCATTTGGTGAACGCAGAGGAACGAGATTTCTCTATAGAAGCAGGAAGCGTTGCGTGCATTTCCCGAACCGCTCCGAAATGAGCGATCGAAGCCGACCTAACAGGCGAGACGTGAAGGCGTAGCGTTCTAACGGCCGGACGAAAATAAGTATCGAGCCGTGCGAATCGATTGGAAAACGTCCGATCGTGATTATTCTGCCTCGATCCGTAACTCGGGTTATTAACTGTTGCACGCGACGGTTGAACAGCATCGGTAAACGTTGCGGCTTCCATCGGTACGGAACATCTGAACGGAGCGGACAAAAAAAGGTTAATCATTAAATTGATGTAATTGATCTTCCTGCGGAAGCGCCAGTCTATATTCGATATTCTCAATGAGCGGAATCGAGTTCCTAATTAAACTCCTTTCGGATCTCGGGCTTTTAATAAGAGGCCGGGACCGTGTTTCTCAATTAATTACTTTCATTAGCTCTCATTCGCAGCGTTGCCCGTCATTCTAATGACGTTAGTCCTCCGATCACGTCTTCTATTCCTATCTCTTTCCTCTCTATTCTATTCTGTTCCTCTTTCTTTCTTTCCTTCCCTCTATACGTATGTAAACGCCTAACGCACACCGTACGCGTTTCTTGATACCGCCGTCCTTGGGATCTCAGATCCTAATCTGTAACCTTCGGATGTGCCTGCATCCGGAAAGAAGATTTTATCGCAGCCGATCAATTACTTCGACCTTCGACTGCTCCTCAAATCGTCGAAGAAAGTGCCATTTTCCTTGGGACCCGTGTACCATCCTCGGCTTACGTCGTTTTCACGCGTTCCAACGGAACGGTGCACTTGGTTACGTAACGAGAATCGAAGGTGAAAAGGGAGAGTTTGACGAATACGACGGTCGTCATCAGGCGATTTCTATTTCTCTTTACGACTACGTCTTCATTATTTCCTATCGTTATGGATTGTTTGCGATTCACGCCTATATTGCCGTTATCTTCTTGGAATTTTACTTCCCGCAACCTCTCAAGGATGACTATTACCTCGCGGCTCATGAGATTTACTCATAGGGTATAAAAAGTATCTACGTTCCGTCGATTTTTCAGACGTTAGCTCGACTCCAAACGCGGGAAACCCTAAATTTTCCGCTCTGATTAAAATCACGTACTAAACCTTGAGGTTCACGCCGAACGATATTCGATTGCTGCAATTTTTTATCGCCGCACATATTTCGTTTTCGTACTTTTGCAATGTAACGAGCTCCGCCGATCCTTGAACCAACCATTAATCGAATCTATGACCAGCGGCTACTGTCCTTCGCGGTTGATCTGAGGATCGTGCCTCGCTGGACCAGCAAGGATATATGCCTCGGAGGAATCTTGAGGACTCTTATTGTTAGAACTGATTCTAGCTGTCGCACCGCGACGTCGTCCCTCTTCTCAATGGTGCCTAGCGCACGTATCGTACACGTGCACGGAGTCAATGACGAGAAAGGAAGAAAGGTATCGCAAGGTCGCGGCTCGAATTCTTAATCGAACCACCGAGCAAGCTTTCGGAAACCGAATTAAAAAGAACTAATTTAGAGAAAGGACGAAGAAGCTATAAAAAAAGGACAAACATTTGAGGAGATGGAACGAGAAGACGAATGGAACCGATGGAATTTGCGCAGAAACCTTGGACGATCGTGCACAGAATAATTCGAGGAAAGAATTGATAGATTTTGTTCGAAGCTCTTCTATATAGAAACGGTACTGCCAGCATTGGGTGGTAGTGGATGTAGATGCGATAGCGAGAACGAGTAAAAGAGAGAGAGAGGGGGAGAGGGAGGGAGGTACGAGTCGGAGACGGAGTCACGCAATTAGTTTTCATTGCGACAAAGCCGGGTATATATCAGTGCGAAAGGCATTGAAGGGGGCCTTGCCACGGCCTGCACTTCCGCGTATCAGCCAGCTATCTTGTCGCGCGGCATATCTACGTGCGCGACAAACAACGGAGCGGCACTTGTTTTCTCGTAGACGCGGTCGCACGAGCTATCATTAATGCAATTATTCGGAAAATAGAGAAGTCCGCGTGGGCGACGGTACACGCTTTCCGAGAAACGAATCCTTCACAAATTCGGGATGTCCAAGAATGATCGTCGCACGTGTAAACAGCGTCGGTATTCCGCGTGCTTCAAGCGCGTCGAACCATGCGAAAATTATTATCGTGGATATTTATCCCTTAAATATCATAATTAAGGAGGTCGTCTCCGAACTGTGTAATTTATCATAATCTATATAATTTAGTAACTATTATGTCTTTCGCGAATGGGAAAATATATAAATTATGCACGAGTTTTTGCGAACATAGCAGCAAAAAGTGAGTCTCTTGACTCGAAGTCGGTCGACTGCTGAAGAACGAATCGAATCGAATCGACTGTGCTCTTCATCGCGAATGCGGACACGTGCGATCCGCAATACACGGATAGACTCATAAAAATTATGACGTGTTCCTATCGACGAGAGATTGATATTTAATTTTGTTTGCGGAAATATGTGTATGGAAATGTAATTTGTAAATTTTATTAGCTTTCTATCTACAGGATTATAAGAGAGTCCGGAATCCAATAACTTATCCGCAGATAGATGGACGGACGTCTTGCGCACTTATTTTCGAGGAGAGTCCGTCCGTCTCTTTCGCGTCCTCGTATCGCGAGGAGGAGGCTTTTACCTGGAACAGTCGAACCGCCGCAACGCGATGGACGGGTAACACGAGACTCGCCACGATTTAAAAGGAATAATCGTCCGTTCTTTGTGCGAAGGTCTACACCAGGAACGCGCGTGGCATAAGGGGACACGTGGAGGCATACGTGGCTGCTTTCGACAAGCACTGGAACCTCGCGCTCGAGGACTGCTTCGAGGTTTGGACCCGTAAATTCAAAAGGAAAGCACCTGCTCTGGGTAATTTCTTATCTTTATTCCCCCTCTCTGTTTCGCCTCTCTTCGGGGCATCGGAATTAACGTAACGTCGCAACTCGCAACTATATCGACAGGACGAGTATAGATTCAATATGCCAAGCGAATGAGAATGTAATTTTTGTGTTCTAACACATCGATTCGATTTAAACTCCTAATCAAATGCCTTCTGACTTGTCAGATTCTAAAATCAATCACATGCTTTTGAATTAACATGATCTTTGTTAATTGGCATTCCTATTTACTTCGGACTTCGATTCACTTGGAAATGTTTCGTACTTGACGAACAGAAACGTGCAGGTAGATTAATAAAGTGACGGTCGTAGATAATCAATTCGATGACGTTTTCCGTTTATTTTTCTCCGATAATAGCGTGGAGCATCTGCGATGAATCAGAAATCATTGGGACGCTAATAAGGTCTATAAAAAGCGGTTGAGAGCTGTAACCTCCGACATTTGTAACGTGGCTCGTCTTGTCGTGATTCGAACACGACAGCCGATGTTCGTACGGCCCTGAAAAAATTCAACCTCTTCACAGCCGTTCAAGGTTGCCTTGTTACCGAAGAATTCCGAACAATGTTTAATGAAACATCAAACACAGCCAGAACTAAAACAATATCTCGTTTTCTTTACTATTCATACGCTTTCTCAGAATCGAATTCGATTTTCCGTATAAAAAATAAAAAGCGCGTTTTCAATTATTTTCATGCGTCAGTATTTCCTCAATAATTTCGCTGAGCACATATCCAGTATGATTATTGAAGCGGTTCGTTACCCACTCGGAGCTAGATTATTTTTAATGATTCTCTAAAAACATTGATTGGCCTCGAAGTAAATCTATCCCGTGATACATGTATATGTCTATACGAACCGGCATGCAAATACTGGAATTATGCATAATGGACGCGTTGCGGCGTGTGCGTCCAGAATTTTAATACGTCATGTCACATCAATAGGCGTAGTATCCGCTATAGTAATGCTCGCGTGTATTATCGTGCGTCTGACCATGAATGAGCTCTACTACTACTAGCCCGGTCGATGGAACCAGTGGTTCTTAAGTCCTTTTTACTCATCGACGAGATTTAACAAAAAACGTTCATGCAAGTTCTTAATTCGTGGTCTCATCTGTGGCTTCGCTTTAAATAATTGATGTGCTTCTCCCGTCGATGATAATGCGTGCGAATGATAAGGGGGTTCGATAAGATGTGCGGATTTCGTCGCGGTCGCGTATCATTAGCCGAGTTTTATTTACGCGGGAAGAGAAAAGCAGGAGGGATCTCATATCGCTGAGGATACGTCTTGAAGACGCCCCTTTACGCAGAGGAGCAAAGACCGACCTTGACTACATAATAGTCGCCACGTTCGATACAAGGCCCATGTGCTTCTCGTCGTTCGCGCGTTTCCCTTTTTTCTCCTCTCGCATATACACGCTCCTCCGGCTGTGTGCCCGAACTCTTTTGCTTTCTTTCTCTCGTCCGCTCGTCCTCTTCCCACTACTCCCGTTTCCATCTCGCTCGCGCCTCTTCCTTCCGTTCCCGCGTCTCCGCTCAGCCTTCCTCGTGCCGCTCGTTGCAACCCCGCAGCCTTCGGCACACGTTTTCATTCATTCACGTGGGTTTTACGCTAGCCCGCACGTGCGTGTCTGATTACGACTTTTCTCAAACGCCTTATCGGGACCTTCGGCTTCTACGTTTTCTTATTCGCTGGTGAACGATGATAACGACACGCGTTGCATACGCACAAATACATCTCTCGCGTGAAAATTGATCCGCGAATCGCGATACAATCGTCTGATGATCCCATCTGTCCCTCTCCATAGATCGCGATTAAAATTACGATACTTATTTCTGGACGGACGTACATCAACGAAATGAATCGACGATTGTTACCTCGGAGGGTGGAACGTTGAAGGGTGATTAATTAACTGTTGCGAGAACAGGCGAGAGAGAAGAAACGTAAGCGCGGAATAAATGCGTAAAAAAAGGGTACCCCTTGGACAACAGTAATCGCGGCACACCGAGAGTTCAGGGTTGCTTGGCCTACTGACGTAGTTTAGGATATCCTGAGGGTCGAGAGGTCGTTGATACGAGCCAGCGAGGGTGGCAGAGGCCACGCGACCTTGAAGAGCAACTTCCAGGATCGATGTCTGGGGAGTACACGTGTCCCACGGACTCCTCGTGCTCGCCTGCTGCCTGCCTGCTGTCCGTGCTCCCTCCTAACCGTATCGCCCTACGCCCTTCCGTTTCCCCCTCGGGCTCGACGGACACGTGCCAGTACATAAACAACCTTTCGAGTCTTACCTCGTGACCTGCCGACATTCTCCTCGCGGTTTCTCCGTGACGTCAAACTTCGCGCTGCTCTTTTTTTCATTACCTAATCATGAATTTCACGAACAGGGCACATTTTCAGTTCCCTGTGACGCGTCCGCGGACGAAATGCGTATTTCTCGTTTTATTATTAAACGAAGAGTCGAACGATATTCGACTATACTACGCATTATACTTTTAAATCCATTAGGTGCCCCGATCGGCACGGACGCGATGGAAGACACCGCGCCCAAAGCGGTCGTGAAGAAGATCGAGGGAAAGAGGGAGACCTTGGAGAGACACGTGCCACAAATGCTGCTGAGGGGAGAACAAGTCGCTATAATCGTCAAAATCAATTGAGTCGGTAAATTGAGTTCTACTACCGAGAAACGGACACTGATGACGTCACTACGCGTTCACGGCGCATCCATCAATCGCTTCGTACGTATGCTACGAATTCCTTAGCCTCTCATTCATCCTTTCAAGTATAACTTTTGTACAACTCTTTTGTTAGAAATATCGAATTACTTGAATTTATCCTCTCATAAACCTCTCCTACGGTAACAGGACTTACGAGTGACTTTTTCCTACTCCATTCACCGAGTTTCGAAACAACACCATATTTTCACGACAGATTACTATTTATTATTTGTATCCTTAGTTTACTATTGGGCATATTGTAAAAGAGTACATTGTAAAAAAGTAGTGTAACAGCTCTTTCACAAAAGAAATAAATAAACATTTATAGTGTTTGAACTCGTTCGTTGTTTAATCTCGCACAGCTGACGCGGTTCAAAAATAGCATGGAAAGTTAGTCTGGAACTCAGTGAACTATGACTTTCTCGCGCTGAATGCGAAGAGTGTACGGAAGAAACGAAGTGAAAGAAAGGCAGGTCTCTGGCTCGGCCCTTGCGAGGACGTTTAATCAAAGGGAACAAGGATGACAAACTGTTCGATAAGAAAGAGGCGGCGAGGGAAAACAAACGGCAGGTCTCGTCGAATCTCTTCTATAAGGTCTCGATAATCTGTAGCGTGACCATCGTCGAGGAAGTTGCAAGAGAAGAAAGTAAATTCGTAATTGTTCGATTGCACGGTGTCGGTGCTGTAACTAACTAATGCCGCCACTACCGTGAACAGTTACTTTTTCTCTAAGGCGGTGCTAGTCGAACGTGAACTGCTTCTTTCTTTCCCTTTCTCGCATGCTCCAAGTGTGCGCATCCTGGGAAATAAGAAAGTTTGGCTCACGGCGAACCAGGCGAACATTTTTCGGTTCGGGCACGGTTCAACTCGAATTTCGACACCCTTGCTATTTTGTAAGTTTGACAAAAATCATTTTACTGATTCAAGAATTATGGTCGACGCAAAAGTCGATGATCGCGTCTAGCTAATTATTGAGAGGAGGAATAATCCTTAAAAAGACGTTCCGACGTTCCACGCGAGTTTGCTTTTTTCCTGATTCGATAATTACTCGAAATTAAGCGCATTTTTCCTATTCTCACGATGTACGCGAAACGACGAAATCGCACGCCTTCTTCGTTTCTACGTCGCAGAAAAGTGCATCAGCGTCGCTGGGGCTACGGTGAAAGCAAGAGAACACCGTCCCCCCTCGCGCCTCCTAGATCAACCATGGGGGCGCACACAATCCCGGGAGGGCCTCTCGCACACACTTTCGCTCTCCGGAGAAAGTCTGGCCGGCGCAACGTCGACGACACTGGCCGCGCTTTTCCCTCCCGTCTCCGCCAACTCCCGGAGAACGCCTGACCACCACCTTCCGCCTTTATCGCCGTTACACCCCTGGCCCCCCCTTGGCCGGCCCTTCCCGGGCCGCCCCTGACTTCGCAAAAGCGCTTACACTGCACTCGGCAAGGCGAGCACGACTCCTAGCTTCGATGCCGTAAGCACGATAGAAAGAGCCTCGCGCGGAACGAAAAGTAAGAGAGAGGGAGAGAGAGAGAATGCGGCGCGCAGAGAGAAGGAGAGAGTGCATACTCTTCCGTTCCTCTTCGCGCCACTTGTGCATTTCTTCTACGGTGTGCTCTCGAGCCGACTCGGGGGTTAATGCACTCCTAGAGCAAGCCATAATCTTAGCCGAGGCCTCGGAGAAGCGCGGGAATCTTTGCCTCGTCGGACGCACGCTCCCCGTAGCTGCTCCGAGCGCCGCGGTGTTTACGGAATCGGCGCGGCGCGCGCGGTGCTACGGTCAATAATTGCCGCACCGGAAGACACGGGTGCTATTTTATGTAACGCCGGAGTATGTACCGTGGATGTTGCGTACGATCGTTTGCCAGGAAACGATATATACCTGCGCCGTGCGTGCACGCGAGTCCGATCGAATTACCGCGACGCGGAATTCTTCGGTAAGGGACGCACCGCTATACCAATCGCAGTCGCTATCTAGACGGAATTGCGCCTCGCGGCGAACGATCGTTTCGGAGTTCGACGATCTTACGCGAAACCCATCATGAAACGGTAGACATCGTCGATTCCTCATCGAAAACTGTATCGAACGCTGTTTCACGGTTGGCGACGGCGAGAGACACACGGAGGAAAAATGCGCGAACGATGGTCATCGAGATTCGTGGACACGAAACCTTGGGACTCATTGTCTACGAGCGATAATTGGACGTACTTGGCTGACAGTTTCGTGTATGTGTACGCGACGCCGCGTCGCGCTTGATAGAGAGAACAGTTTGTTTCTCGTCTCTATTAATCCGTCTCGCTCCTTCGCGCTAGACGATAGACTCCGGGAGGTATACATGTATACGACGGTCCAGGGCCGACGAGCGACCGCCTTGGAGGCGTAATGACGATCGTAGAAACTCTCGAGGCCGGTTCACGAGGGCCAAGACGGTTTTATGAATGCGCGAACGTGATAGAAGACTCAAACGAAGGCAAACACGCATCGATATCGCACAGGTATCGGGTTTTGCACCACCTATGTCTCTCCTATCCGTCTGACTGTGATAACAGAAATCTTTCGAATTCAGGGACTCGCTCGTTCTTATCCATAGTTCGATCGAATCGTCATCGAATTCGACCACGAACTATAATTAATATCCATTCGCGTGTGACGTTCTCGCCGCGACATCCTCGTTGCGAGGGTCACAATTTTATTTGGATCGAATCACTCCGACTGAGAGATTTCGCAATGTATAATCCCGCCGCGTGTTCATCGTTTCCAAAATATTTACTGAAAAAACAACGATGTGTCGATACTTGACCGTTACGATGATTTCATATTGCAAAACGATTTTGCAGCCTATAAACAAAGCGAGGTCGCGTGGCAAAATCAAACGAAACGGGAGACCTCGCGGAAAATTCCAGATCGTACTCTCCGCATGTCCTCGAATTTAAACGATAATGAGCGAGCAATAGGAGATTACGGTGTACTATGAACTAGCTACGAGTTTCATTCTCAAACGAACCGTCGATCTTTATCTAACACGCGAATCAGGCTTCCGACGAGAGACCAGCGTACCATTGTCGAGGAAAGAACCGCGATTATCTCACGGAAAAATGTATGTTTCTAAATTGCTATCTGTATAAAAAAAATCCGACCCATCTGGAGATAAAATGACTTAAATTAAGTTAAAAGGTGAACTTGCCAGATCTTTTTTACTACTGTTTACGGTCGGTCGATGCCAAAATAACGACTATGTTCCGATGGAACGTAAATTCGAGCCAAAATCAACGAGAGGGAATCGGGCGGTCGACGCGATTCTGGTTTCGGGAGTAGATCTCTGGGATTCGGGCGGTCCGAAGCCGCGAGGGTTTTCCCTCTGTCCACGTTCGTGCAAAAACGCGCACACGTGTCCAATTTGCTGGTCCAAGTGTTGAAAATAACCTCTTAAACGTCCCTGACGAGGTGGGAATGTCGAGTTTGCCGCGGATACTGTGTTAGCTGGTGATTTGCACTTCCTAGTCGAGGTACCCACCAACACACCCAGTCGAACGCATTCTCTACGCAACATGCGACACGGAACGCGTCGTGTACGTGCGAGAACGGCGCGCGACCTAGTGTTGGTGAGTGTCGCACGAGAACGGGCTGACGGTGTCGGTGTAAAACTAACAATAATAATAAGGTTGAGTCATGTGGGGCCTTCGAGAGCAAAGAAGGTCCTTGATTCGTGCCCCGGGCAAGGTAAAGATCTCCGTCTCTCCGTAAGTACGCCGATCGTTTCTTTCCTTCTTCGATTCGACGTGCTTTTTTGGACCTCCACGCTTCCCGCGATTGGGGATTTTCTACGTCACGTAGAAACAAACTCGAGGGCAAGCTGTGTGCCTGCATCTCCGCGTGACGTCGATTCCGTAGAATCGATCGTATTCGATTAATCATACTTCCCAAATTCCTACCTGATCTTTGCTCAGGGATCGAATCAGGATATCGAAAGTTGAAATAATAATCGTAAAAACTATTTTTCGTACGAACTTTCCTTGATTTTAATGCGTTCGTGTCACTGTCATGCGTCGATGGATAAAATTACAGGAAGCCTAACGCCATGATAAGCGAAATATTCATTCTTAGAATTACACTTTCAACATGCAATCCCTATATTGGCTGAAGCTGACGTTTTTAATTACAGGAGAGAATCTGCTTTTACAGTGTACAAAATTTAATACATCATGTAAAAGAAGAAATCTTATATGAAATCAAAAGAATCTTAGAGGAAGAAATTAATGGTCAGCATCATCGATTGTGAATAGCATTGAAAATGAAAATGAATTGCAGATTTATATAAATTAGAGGATGAAAAAGAGCCTTAAGAAGAGAAGAAACATATGGGAAAGATTCAACCTATACAATCAATAAGTAAAACTGTCTTGCTGCTCTCAGTAAGAAGTGTCCGCGTATCTACATGCCGCGAACATTTGGATCCCATTGTAGCACGATTACCAGCTTAACTAATCTTTTATCGTTAGCCTCGAAATCATTAGTTCCTTGTCTCCGATGGAACGTTACACACCCAATGCACGCGATAACGATTCTTTCCCGGCGAGAACAGCGCGGCGAATGGAATATCTCGATGTAATTTTATTAGAATCGTTGCCTTGCTTATAGGTATATCGTTTTCGCATCGAGTCTCGCGCAAACTTTCTCAGAGAAGCGATGCGCCGATTACCGTACGTATACAAATCGTTGAAACTTTCGTTACGATTATCGGGACACGTTTAGCGCATGCCATCGAGTCACGAGAGCAAGCGCGCGCGAGTTTTAATGGTTATTGGCAAACCGGACGATTTCCTCGAAGGCGACGGACACTCTTCAACTCGTTCGATGGAGCTCGATCACCGCTCGTGATCTATAAAAGACACGTTTTATAATCTGGTGTCTGGCCGAACAACGGGCTGACAGTTCCACGTGCGAAACGGCGTCAGCGGTTGACTGGCCAACAATCGCCCTCCGATCGGATGCATCGTTCGATCAATCTTCGAATTCGAACGGACGAGCCTTTCTTCCCCCGGCTTTCGGAGACCCGCTCGAACCAGAAGGTCGTTCATGTCATTCGATGCATCGTGCGATCGCGGAGACAGGATGCACCACATTTTAATCATTAAACCGCGCACTTTTCATCCAAAATAAATATTCTTATCAATTTTGAACATGAAATCCAAGAAATTCTTTAATCTTTAAAACCTTAAGATACGCGCATCGCTGTCGATATTATACGTGCTTTTATAAACTCATAGCATAAATCTAATAAATGTATAAAAATGCGGAATTTAATAATAGTTTACTTTGATCCCCAAAGAAAATA